GACATGTCCACTGAGTCTAGATTACAATATGCCTGAAATATAACAAAACAACAGTAGATTACAATATGCCTGAAACATCAAAACAACAGTAGATTACAATATGCCTGAAACTAAAAAAAACAACAGTAAATTACAATATGCCTGAATACATACAAAACAGAAAACCATTAAATAATAATACCCGATTAACCAAGAGACCGACCAAAAACTATTTTATCTTAATTTTGTCATTATGATACTTTGACCCCCTCCCCCCCTCCAAGATAAAGACATTTTTTACCCAAAGTGCATAATTCATATAACTTTTATAGAGGTCTACTAGACAATGCTATATGCCAAATATTAAGGCATAGTATTTATCAGCAAAAAATTTAAGATGTGTTTTCCTATACATTAGTCTACATTAGGCAAATGACTCCCGGGGCCGGGACAATTTTGACCTGTGGGTTTCTTTGACGGGATAAAACTTTTGTGAAAAGTCTTTTATTAAGCTCGGGGCCCTTTGGGGTTATTTTTCACAAAAATAAAACTTAAAATGTGTTTTCCCAAACATAATTTTCCAAAATAAAGGGTTCCCCAGAGGGGGCCAATTTTGGGCCCCCAAGGGGGCATGATTAATGTTGGTTTTAGAAAAGGTTTTCCAGTGGGTAATGCCTGTAAATGTTTAAAATACCTTAGTTTTTAGCATGATGTTTAGGGATAATAAATTAACTAAACTATTATTGGCTATTTTAACGACTGAAAGGGTTTCCCTTTACTCAGCCCTGGTTTTTTACAACTAATTCATTGACCTGTGATTTATCAAAAAAACTGGCTTTTAATTTTTAAGCAGGGGAACAACCAGAAAATTTAAAAATTTGTGTTTAAAATAATGAAACAGTTAACTGATATTTTACAATAGCAAAAAATCTAATGGTAAACTACTGACCAGAATAACCAAAAAGCAAACCTCAAAATCGTAGGATTAATTGGTTATTCTAAATTATTATTGCCTTTTTTATGTAACCCTTCCCCTCTGAACATTTTCCTTGTCAAAGGGAAAATTTTCTATTATAACAAGGTTTTATTCAATAATCAAAAGTTGATTTTTTTGTGAACAATTTAGAAAGACATGTGAAATTGTCCAAAAAAGGTGTGAAAAATATGATTAATAATCATACACTATATAAATGATATAACCTTTTCTTATATCTACTAATCATTCAAAAAACAATTTTATAAACCATCAATCATGAAAACATTCAGTCTAGGTACATGTTAAACATTCTGGCTAATAAAAGGGATTGAAGCTCTATTGTAACTGCTTTAATAAGTGCACCACAAAAGGGAGAAGCAATACCATAAGTGGGTGTGTAGAAAAATGTGAGGTTTTAGAATTAAACAAAATGAATATAACAAGTAAAGTCTCAGTTGGCTGGCAAGTTAAAATATCAGACCAGTTCAACCTGGATTCCAGGCCATAGCCCCAAAAGTCAGGCCAGTCAAAACCGTAGTTGGGGCAGGCCAGTCCACCCAGACTCAGTTTCAGTCGCCCGGAGTCAGACCAGCAGGCCCTGATCCAGGTCAGTCAAGGAACCCAAAGAGTCAGGCAATCAGCCCTGAGTCCAGGTCAGTCAGCCCTAAAGTCAGGTCAAGTCAGCCGTGGAAAGCAGGCCATCAGCCCTGAGTCATGGTCTGTACCTAAGTTCAGGCCAGTCAACCCAGATAAGGTCCTGTCAGCCCTAGAGTCAGGTCAAATCAGCCCTGATCAGGTTGGTAGCCCTGAAGTCAGGCCCTAGTCAGTTCGGAAATCAGGCCAAGTCAAGAGGTTTTTCCTGCACCAGCCAAGACTCATCTGACAAGACTAATGCCTATTACAGTGAGAAATGTTTCACCGGGTCTTTATACTAACCAATTTATAGTTCCAAATTGGTTTGTATGAAGGCAGTCTATAAGAACAACTTTGAAAGAGAGAACCGTTAAAGGAACTCAAGTGAAGTCCAAGAGTGTAAAAACATAAAATTTGAATTTCTTACATAGATCAGCTGGGGCACTTAAAATATATGTAAAAGATTATTAAGAAATAATCACAATTAAAATACATGTTATTAATCCAGGAAAACAAAGTAAGCGAATGATCTTAAATTTTACACACAAGTTATTGGTCTAGGAAACCAACATCAAAATGGGGAACATTTTTAACTTGAAAAAATTTGCTGCCATCATGTCAAAAAACCTCAGTGGAGTCCCTCTAAGAAATGTTTTGCACCAGTCCAGGGATCAAGCCACAGATTCATATGAAAATTTTCAGAGGTCAAAAGTTATTTTATCAAGGTCTAAAAGGGACAATCATAATATGAAGTTTGGTAATCCTTTCATACACCTAAGAGAATTTGAAACATTCATTAATTTTTTTATTCTAACTCTAGTGAATTAGCAATCTTAAGAAAAATCCCTCCTTCAAGAATTAAAACATCAGCATTGTTTAAATTTAAAAGGAGATGATTATATACTCACCATCTGTAACTTGGTTAACATCTTTTTTGAACTAATTCTGAAATAGTCCAAAAAAAAAATTTTATATAAACAAAAAGCTCATAAAGACCCAACCAATTGTTGTTATTACTTTTGGGAGTTTTTTGGTTTGTTCTTTTACGTTGCAATCAACACAGTAATAGTTATTATGGCGACTTTTTCAAGCTCCACTTTGGTGGAAAGAAGACCTCATGTTCCCTTTTCGAGCAAATTATTTTAAAAATGAATACTAGCACACATAAGTAATTACCTCACCTCTCCCTTATTAACATAAGTTGGTGGCTGAACATGAAATCTACACAACAACACAATAGGTAATTAATCTCACCTCTCCCTTTATTAACATAAGTTTGTTGTGCTGACATGAATACTAGCCAACAAACACTTAGGTAATTAAACCCTAACCTCTTCCCTTATTAATGTTAAGTGTGGTGCCTGGAACATGAATACTAGCACACAAACACATAGGTAATTAAACCTAACCTCTCCCTTTATTAACCTGTGTGGTGGCTGACATGAATACCAGCACACAACACAGAGGTAGTTATCGCGCTCAACCCTCTCCCTTATTTAACGTAAGTGTTGTGCTGACCATGAATACTGAGCACACAACACATAAGTAATTTACCCTCAACCTCTCCCTTATTTACATCAGTGTGGTGCTTGACATGAAATACTACACACAACACATAGGTAAATTACCTCACCGCTCCAATATTAACGTAAGTGTTGTGCTGACATGAATACAGGACCAAAAACATAGGTAATTAGCTCACCCTTCTCCTTAATAACATAAGTGTGGTGCTGACATGAAATACTAGCACACAACACATAGGTAATTTATCTCCACCTCTCCCTTATTAACGTAAAGTGTGGTGCTTTGACATGAAATACTAGCACACAACACATAGGTAATTACCGTCACCTCACCAAATATTAAACGTAAGGTGTGGTGCTGACTAATGAATACTAGCACACAACAATTAGGTAACAAGCAAATTTATCATAGTATTGCAAAGCAATTTCCATAAGCCCCCCTACCGGTAAGAGCCCAAGCAACATTCTATAGGGCCATTGGCCATTCACTTAGGTTCCTATTAAAAGTAAAAATTTGTTGAAAAAGTTCTTTAAAAAGTGAATCACAGGAAAAATTTTTATGTACAGACAGACTGAAAAGACACATTCTGGAGCGAGGACTCCGACCGGGTTATTTTTTTTAAACGGCACGCTCCTGCTATAACTATTTATTCAAAAAGTTATAATCCCATTATTTTAAAATCCTATCATGATTGAAGAAGTTGGAGTAAAAAATTACCATTTCTCAAAAAAAGTCTAAGTTCAAAAAGGGGATAAGTTCTGGAAATAAGTCTTGCTAGAAAGTATTGAACACTCACAAATGTTGAGTGGACAATAAGAAACATTTATATGAAGTTTGCAAAGTAGATACATTCTGAAAAAGAAAGTTATTTAAAAAAAAAAAACAATGTTTTTTCCATGAAAATTTCAAGTTCAAGGGGAGGTAATTCTGATAAATTTTTGTGCTAGAGTTGTAAACCTTGTCACAATGATAGTTGGTTGATGACAAGCAACTTATATTTAAAGTTTGAAGAAAATACCTTAAGAAATAAAGAACTTATAGTGAAAAAACTTAAAAACTAGAATCAGAAATCTTGAATTCAGTCTATTTGTTGCCATAGCTACCAGAATTTTCAACATAGGAAGATAAGAAAAAGGATGTGAATAATTTCCATACTGCCATCTACCCATTATGTCAAGTTTCAATAAACATATTTTTCAGTACTTTTTGTGTTATCACTGGATCCAGGTTATGTGTAAAATTTGCCATATTTTCAGTCTATTTATTGCCATAGCAACCAGAATTTTCAACATAGGGAAGAAAAGAAAAATACGTGCATAAGTCTCCCATACTGGCCATCTCTCCATATATCAAGTTTCATAAAATATTTTCAGTACTTTTTTGCGTTTATCGCTGGGGGATCCAGTTTATGTGTAAAATTTGTCATATTTTCAGTCATTTGTTGCCATAGCAACCAGAATTTTCAACATAGGAAGAAAGAGAAAAAGACGTGCATAATCTCCATACTCTGCCATCTATCCATATATCAAGTTTCATTAAAATATTTTCAGTACTTTTTGCGTTATTGCGGGATCCAGTTTTGTGGACGGACGGACTGACGGACGGACAGACGGACGGACGTACCAACTTTTGATGTTTATGAGGCAAATCAGCTCATAAACACCACCTGGACCAACGTCCATAAGCAAAATAAGCTCATAAAAACAAAAAAAATAGCTCTTAATTTGAATTTTATGAGTTTTTGTTCTTTATTTAACTACGGAATGAAGCTCATAATAATCAAATGTTTGCTCGGACGGACTGACGGACGGACAGACAGACGGACAGAGGGTAAACCTAAAGTCCCCTCCCGTAAACCGGTAGGGGACTAATTACCTAACCTCTCCCTTATTAATGTAAGTGTTGTGCTGACATGAATACTAGCATACAACACATAGGTAATTACCTCACCTCTCACTTATTAACTTGTGTGGTGCTGACATGAATACTAGCACACAACACCTCATCTCTTCCTTATTAACCAAAGACTTAGTGTGGTGCTGACATGAATACTAGCACACAACACCTCATCTCTTTCTTTTTAACCAAAGTGTGGTGCTGACATGAATACTAGCACACAACACCTCATCTCTTCCTTATTAACCAAAGTGTGGTGCTGACATGAATACTAGCACACAACACCTCATCTCTTACTTATTAACCAAAGTGTGGTGCTGACATGAATATTAGCACTCAACACATAGGTAGCGACATGAACCTCATCATTCTTTCGTATAAGCTAAATTTTGTGTGTATGCGAACACTAACATGTAACATAGATAATCACCTCACATCTCCATTATCAAGTGTTGTGTTGACTTGAACACTAGCACTAAACACAAAGGTAATGTGTACATGGATTTTAATTAAACAACTAACATATCATTATGCTGGTAAAATATGTTCATTACTAAATGCCATTTATAATATTAAATTGTTGTCATATATATTTGTTGTTTTTTATAGATATTATTAGAGACATCTATTGGGATTACTTCAAAGAAATTAATGTTTCTCTCCCTTTATGGAGATAAAGAACCTTTTATTCAATTGGCTAAAAATAAACAGATATCTACATGTATATAAATTTAATATACTCTCAGAAGCTCAGATATATAATCATGAAGAAAAATCTTCTAAAAGCATTTAAAGATGAGATTTATAAAATATTATACCACAATTATTGGAAATACTGATGCAGAAATCTTTGTTTTTATTTTAAACATGTTCAACAAATATCTTGGTCACCTTGAGAAAATCAGTCAGAGAATTGGTACTTATATTGTTGAACAGTGATACTTATAAAATAGTTAAACATTTACATATAATATATATGCTTTACACAAAGATGAAGATGATGTTACACAATGCATAGATCCCTGCATGACCAAAACCTGTTTAATTAGGTTATGGTTTAAAAAAATCTATTTAGGGGAAAAAAATGTGATAACTCAGTCTTAAGAGCCACAGTATTCCCAGGGTCCTAGGTTCAAGTCCCAATCAGACTGCACATTTCTCTCACCCTGTAAAAAAAAAAACTGTTATTCAAATAAAGGGTCGAAGTGTAGGAATAGTAAACTTACTACAGTGCTTAATTTTTTATTTCCAAGTGAAGCTCTCACTAAACATTTATACTCTGTAGGATCAGCAATAGTTCCCTTCCTTGGCTTTGGTTTTGTTCTCCCATCATCTGTAATAATAATATACAAAATCTTAACTTAAGGCAACATGTTCAAAATGTTTTTATCTTAACTGTTAATTGGGAGTGTCTATTGTTTACTTACCTGTGCTGCAAAACCTTTTAAGGACACATGACTTCTTATCTTTTATACATGTAGTCAATCATTTCTGGTAACACTTTGTGTAAAATATTATATTGCACATAATTTGTGTAGTAAACCATTTCTGGTCATATATTTCATCTGTATATTTTGTGTAGAACAACATCGGTGATTTTTCTCTCTTAATTGGGAAGAAGCCTTAGCCACTTCATTTTGGGAAAATATAACACTAAAATTGCTGATTTGGGAATTAAAAAAGCTGGTTTAAGTTCAGAATTTTGGTGAAAACTGCATGATTTTAAAGAAAATTTCAACTGGGAAGAGGCCTTTTTTCGGAGTCTGTTATATAAGTAGGAAAATCACTGAACATGGACATTTCAATTTTCTGTATGTTCTAGTCACATCATTAAATGTTGTGTGTTTTTGTGGTGTAAACTTTTTGATTAATACTACTTAGTTCAATGACTGAATACAACATAAAGTCATAATGTACACAAATTTATTTTTAATTTAAATATAAGAATTATCATTAACTTACATCTCTTCATGGTCAGAGTTACTGTTCCTGAATTCCTGGCTTTCTGGAACATCTTTGTGAGCTCAGTAAGGAACTGGAAATATAAAAAAAAATATTCTCATTAATGAAATCAACAGAAGATGTCTGAATACAAATGATTATTGTTAACACATCATCTGACTGTACCAGTAAAGCACAACATGGTTTGTTTGCTCATTTTTGACAGTGCAGTGAGCACAATGTGAGTGTCGACTCATCAATCTGTTTTGTACCAGTGAGCACAATGTGAGTGTCCCGATTCATCATCTGTTTTGTACCAGGAGCAACAATGTGAGTGTCAACTCATCATCTGTTTTTGTACCAGGGAGCACAATTTGGAGTGTCAACTCATCATCTGTTTGTACCAGGGAGCACAATGTGAGTGTCAACTCATCATCTGTTTGTACCAGGGAGCACAATGTGAGTGTCAACTCATCATCTGTTTGTACCAGGGAGCACAATGTGAGTGTCGACTCATCATCTGTTTGTACCAGTGAGCACAATGTGAGTGTCGACTCATCATCTGTTTGTACCAGGGAGCACAATGTGAGTGTCAACTCATCATCTGTTTGTACCAGGGAGCACAATGTGAGTGTCGACTCATCATCTGTTTGTACCAGTGAGCACAATGTGAGTGTCGACTCATCATCTGTTTGTACCAGGGCAGTGGCGTAGCTTCCTATAGGCACTGTAGGCACGTGCCTACACTTTTTCCTCAGAAATGAAAAATTAAACGATTACAAACATGCGATAAAAATTTAAGGGTAAGGGCGGTAGATATGTAGGTCCATATATTAGAAAATGACCTGTCACCATATTTGAAAATATATCGAGTTTTATTTCATAATGAAACGTTGCCATGTTAAAAAGTTGTTCTGTAGTAAAACCTATCAGAGACGGACGAAGTTTTCGACAATATAAAAGTTTTTGAGCGCTTCGATTCAAAATATGAATATTACAAGTATGCACGACCAGGATAGGCCATATCCAGATATCGGTAGTGCTAGCTTTATACAACTGACGGGGAGGCTAAGCGATATATTTCGAATGAAGCCTTGACATCTTGTCTTTCATATTATCATCCCTTCTTTAGGGATTCATGATTTAATTATTTGTACGTTATTCTGTACAAACTACATCTCCGTTAAATCTTGAGCACAAAACATAACGTAGAATTGAAATCTTGCAAGTTCATAGTCGATTTGAAGTAAACGTGAAAGATAATCTGTGTTACTATACAAATTTTTAATGTATTTTCATTATATATAACAATTACAAGTAATGTGTTCGAATCCATATCAAAGTCTGCATTAATTAGCGTAGTGGTGAAGAGCCTGCTTTTAAAGATAGCGATGCATTTTTTTTAATTTATACTTTAATGTAACTTTATTTATTCATTGAATTGCATATGAAGTGACATTTACAAACATTTCACAACAATGCAATTCAGGTTGGATTGGAAAACAAGTAAAACAATACATCTCCAGCTAAAGTAATTTTCAAAATAAAGATACAAAAATGTTGCGGATAGATGTAAGCTCTTTCAAGGTACAACAAAAAATAAGAGAATAATTGATTGTTGAATTATCACTATAGAGTGACTTAGGTAACTTATGGAGAAATATTAGAAGAAAAAAAGAATGTAAAGTAAAACAAGACTGAAAATATCGGACTTTTTAGTTCTTGATATAAACATGTAAATGAAAATGATCGTTCTGAAATGCCAAGTTCATTCACTTTGATAGTAGTTCTTACAATTGTGAAATAGATGAAACTACTTCGCGTTCAAATTGTTTTATAGTAAAAGTTCTTGTTCTTACATTACTGTAGGTAACGTACTTATTGAATAACTGAAGGTGTAAGGTTGCTTTGTCTTTACTTTGACTTCAAGTAACCAGTCTATTCTACGTTCTATATATGTGTCACCATAAACAATAAAAAGAGGCTTTCATTTATGAATTATGGGAGCATAAAATCTTATTGAGACGCTGTTTGTGTGACATCATCATTATCCGGTGTAGCAAGGTGTTATTTGGGGTGTGTTTATAGTTCATGGCGTTCGATTTGTTGACCTTTGTTTTCATTATTTTCTATTTATATATTTAGACAACCTTATTTCGAATTTTTAAATTTTGATGTTTGCTTATAAATTTGCATATTTTTTTTTTCTCTTCTTTAAATGTATAGTCTTCGATTCATATATTATTACCCCAAAGTTATATACGGAAAAAAGCTTTTTGCCAGAATGTCTTTGCTTTGCGTAAATTAGTTAGTAATATAAGTATGGTCATCATTATATATTGATGAAAAAAATGTAACCAAAATGCAGCAAAATTATGAATTTTCTTCCTTCAGAACATGCTTAAACATACCCCAAAATGCAGCTACGGCAATGTAGATTTTCAAAAAAATTCGGGGGAGCATGCCCCCGGACCCCCCTAACACAAGTGCCTACACATTGGTTTCTTTCAAGCTACGCCCCTGCAGGGAGCACAATGTGAGTGTCGACTCATCATCTGTTTGTACCAGGGAGCACAATGTGAGTGTCAACTCATCATCTGGCTATAAGTGAGCACAATGTGTGTTCGAATTCATCGTCTGACTGTAAGTCTGTATCATGTATCATTCAGTTAACAAAATATTTTTGTTTGACTGTACAAGTGACTACAGTGTGTTTAAGTTGATCGTACATTTCATGATACAGATACTGACAAATTATGCAAATGGAGTATAAATGCAATCTTAAAGAACTGGAAATGACAGAAAAAAAAATCAAAAAAAATTAAACAAGCAAATTCGTTGAATTTATATCTCCCGCCGAGTACTGGTTATTACTAACACAACATACTGCATAACTAATCAATAGCCATAACTCTGAGTTAAAGTGTCTGACCCAAATAAGGTGACCATAATATGCGCATCTCCTCTTGGCATTGAAGGTTCCCATAAAGTTTCGTTGAATTCCAGCCAGTAGTTGCAGAGAAGTAGCGCGGAAACGATTTTTACTCTAGATATGCAAACTGCATAACTAATCAAGGGCCATAACACTAAGTTAAAGTGTCGGACCGGAACAAGCCGACGATATACGCATCCCCTCTTGATATTGAAAGTTCCCATAAAGTTTCCTTGAATTCCAGCCAGTAGTTGCAGAGAAGTAGCGCGGAAACGATTTTTACTCCATATGCATACTGCATAACTAATCAAGGGCCATAACTCTAAAATAAAGTGTCGGACCGGAACAAGCCAACGATGTGCGCATCTCCTCTTGATATTGATGATTCCCATAAAGTTTCGTTGAATTCCAGCCAGTAGTTGCAGAGAACTACTCCGGAAACGAAATTCGGATGGACGGACACTTTTAAATCAACAATAAATGCATATTATATTTTTTCTATAATTAAGTAATAATGTCTATTTCAAGAATGTTGGCGTTGAAAATTTTGACCTCAAGAGTGCGATCACCTGACTTCTTATACTAGCTATAATTGTTTGTAGAGTTAACGACAGAATTCTGTAAATTACAGCATTTGCTGCTGAAATATTACATATCATGTTGAAAACAAAAAATTAAAACCAGCAAGCTTTTATCTGAATTAATCAATGCCATGTACATATTATCTGTCCGGACACATGGTACTGTAGTGTGGACAATTTAGGTAATTTTGATACCCTCTTTGATGGGCCTCAAAAGTAAGTGTCAACATAATCAGAAGTAAATAAAAAAGTTTGTAAGTTAGGATGTACTGTGTCAAATTTACAGATCTCTAGCTTAACAATTATGAAATCTGAATAGAACAAGAACGTGTTTGTTAAACACAAATGCCCCCGGCTCAGATTCTTGTCAGTAGCAATACTTCATAAATGTTTACCCATTCACTCAGTTATGGACAGAAAAATCACCAAAAAATTGTAAACACAAGTTTTATAGCTTGACAAAGTCATGGCATTTTGTAATTGTGAAAAATATAAGTTGCCAAGTCATTGCTCTGACTTGTGAAGTTGAAAAATATTCAACTTCATGCAAGTTATCTTCCTACCAAATACGAAATACATCTGTCATTAAATAAAGGCTGTATGGGCAAAAGTGTAAAAATCCATTTTGAGCACTGGTGACCTTGACCAAACTGACCCCTAACTCTATCCAAAAGAAGAATACCATGTAAGTTATCTTCCTACCAAATATGAAATACATCTGTCAATAAATAAAGGCTGTATGGGCAAAAGTGTAAAAATCTATTTTTAGCACTAAGTCTTGTGACCTTGACCCAACTGACCCCTTACTCCATCCAAAGGAAGAATACCATGCAAGTTATCTTCCTACCAAATATGAAATACAACTGTCAATCAATAAAAGCTGTATGGGCAAAAGTGTAAGAATCTATTTTTAGCACAAGTGACCTTGACCCACTGATCCCTACCCCAATCAAAAGGATGAATACCATGCAAGTTATCTTCCTACCAAATATAAAATATATCTGTCACTTAATAAAGGCTGTATGAGCAAATGTGTAAAAATCTATTTTTAGCACTGGTGACCTTGACCCAACTGACCACTAACTCCATCAAAGTTTATGTTTCTATGATATCAATTATAAATAACATCTATCTATAGAATAAGGTCAATACACCTGTAAAAATGTAAAAATCTTTATTTAACATTGGTGACCTTGACATTGGTAACATTGACCTTGACCCAAATGACCCCATACTACACCCAAAGAAGGAGGTGTTTGTATTAAACTAAGACATTAACTAAAAAATAAAGGCTGTATGAGCAAAAAGGTTTATATTTATTTTTTAAACCAGTGACCTTGACCCTAGAGACCGCTTACTCTAAAAAAAATTAGAGGACCATCAAAGGTATCCACCTACTAAATATGAAAGATATCAGTAAAGAATTAAGCAATTAGGAGAAATTTAAGATAAATCCAACTTGCCGAAATAGGTTAACCAGACAAGGCCCTATTTTCAAAGTGAACAAGAGCCATGTCAACATGGCCATCCCCCGCCGAATGTGTTTGCTCATTGGAAGAATGTATATGTAGTAGAGCGGAATAATTCCATTTTAAGAGGTCTTTTGGTAATGAAAACTGATGGCTATAGTGATTACAGATTTGAAACCTATGTGAATACTGATGGCTGAAAATAACAAAGGGCAATTACTGAAAAATAATGCAGGGTAGGTTATCATTCTTGTGTGCTGCATCCCTCCTCAGTAAAACTTATCCACCTATGAAGTTTCAAGTTGATACCTCAAATACTTTTTGAGAAAAAAATTGAATTGAAAAATTAAGTATGAAAAAGAACAAAGGGCAATAACTCAAAAATTATAAAAGGTAGAGTTATCATTCTTGTGCAGTGCACACCTCCTGAGTGAGATCTATGCACCTATGAAGTTTCATTTTGATATCTCAAAGGCTTTTTGAGTTATGCCCTGGACAAAAATTAATTTTGAAAAATAACAAAGGGCAATAACTCAAAAATTGTATAGGGAAGAGTTATCATTCTTGCGCACAACATTCCTCCTCAATAAGATCTATCCACCTATGACATTTCATGTTGATATCTCAAACACTTTTTGAGTTATGCTCCACTCAGGTGAAAAATTAGGTATGAAAAATAACAAAGGGCAATAACTCAAAAATTAAGAAAGGTAGAGTTATCATTCTTGTGCACTGCACACCTCCTGAGTGACATCTATGCACCTATGAAGTTTCATGTTAATATCTCATAGGCTTTTGGAGTTATGCTCTGGACAAAAATCAATTTTGAAAAATAACAAAGGGCAATAACCAGACTTTCCGAAAGTTGAAAAAAACTGTCAGACATTCGGTCTGACAAACCATGAAAACCTGTCGGATCGAAACGAAATCTGTCGGACCAAATAAAATTGATCAAAATCAAAGAATAACTTGTGTTTGTATTTCTAAGACACTTTTTGTTTATAATTTTTTTGCCGTAAAAATCGGCACATTCCTTACTGCGCATTTTCATCTCCTCCCTATCATACACCAACGATTCACTGTCTTGCTTCTATTTTTCATTAAATTTTGTCTCAGGTCTATTCTTTTTATCCTTTTACTGCTGTTCTGCCTGTTCCTCTGACGTAGATTTTTTATTTTTCAAAGGTTTGGCATCTTTAGCGACGCCATTTTGTATACATGCGGCTTGGATAAAAGCCGGACAGTCGGACCGATCCGGAATAAAAACTCGTCAGACCTGATCAAAATTTATCGGACATGTCCGTCGGACCGACGTATTTCGGGAAGTCTGAATAACTCAAAAATAATGCAAGGTAGAGTTATCATACTTGTGCACTGCACTCTTCCTCAATGAGGTCTATCCACCTATGAAGTTTCAAGTTGATAACTCAAATACTTTTAGAGATATGCTCCGGACAAAAATGTCGGACGGAAGGACGGACGGACGGACAGAAGGAAGGTCGGACGGACGGACTGACGGAGACTATTTCTATATCCCCCGCCGCCTTTTCGGCGGGGGATAAAAAAGGGAAATAACTGGGAAATATGGATGACACAGTTATATAACTTGGCAATATCATGTACTTTGTATTGATTAGTAAGTGTGGAAATTATAAAGCCATTAGTATAGATAGAACTTAAGATATTTCCAACTTGCCGTTTTAGGTTAACCATTATTCATTTTCTAAGTGCTGAAAAGGGCAATAACTTGGTAAATATGAAAGCCAGAGTTATGAAACTTGCCCAGATCGTGTACTTTGTATTGATTAGTAAGTGTGTAAACTTAGAAGCCATTGGTACAGGTAGAACTTAAGTAAAATCCAACTTGCCGTTCTAGGTTAACCTCGTACGGACAGATGGACGGACGGACGGACAGATGGACGGACGGGTGGACGGTTCAATCACTATATGCCCGGGGGCATAAAAATGTTCAAAAGTGTCCGGTTGATGGTTCCCGACCAGTACAGACACTGAATATGAAAACAGTTACAATACAGTACTGGTTGGGGACCCCAAAAACTGGACAACCATCAAACCCGGACGGCCCCAAAAATGCTTAGTTAATATAGTATTTTCTTTGTTCAGTGGTTGTCAGTCACTTTTTTATCAATAATAAATGCATGTTTCTTCTAAAATTAAGTAAATAAACTTATTTCAACCTCCGTAAATGTAATATTTTAATGTCTATTTCAAGAATGTTGACGTTGAACTTTGGGGGTCAAGAAAGAAATGCCTGACCTCATATACCAGCTATTATCATTTGCAGAGTAAACAATAGAATATCCAAAACTTCAGCATTTGTTGCTGAGATATTGTAAATCATGTTAATAATCAACAAGAGTGATCAGTGATCACATGCGTCGCCTCATAATGGCCAATTTCATGTTGGGACAAGTTTTGTGACAGACGGACGGACGGTGCACAACTAGACTTGGTATTGATCATTCCTGTAAAGTTTGGATAAAATTGCACCAGTAGTTTATGAGGAGTAGTGGGGACAAGCTTTTGTGTATCTGGCAACACACAGAAAAAACACCTTTTTTATCAAAGGGCCATAACTCGGCCAAAAATCATTCAACCGGAAAACCCGTGCAATATGCTCAAGGACTTGAGCTACAGATCAATCCTGTAAAGTTTCATTGAAATTGCATTAGTGGTATAAGAGAAGTAGTCCGGACAAACTTTAAAAATAAAAAAAATTAAAGGGCCATAACTCTGACAAAAATCATTGAACCGGAAAATGCTGACAATATGCACAACTAGACTTGGTACTGATCATTCCTGTAAAGTTTTGATGAAATTGCACCAGTAGTTTATGAGGAGTAGTCCGGACAAGTTTTGTGACAGACAGACAGACGACGGAGAAGTGATCCCTATATGTCGCCACTACTCCGTAGAGGCGACACAAAAATCAAAACACCCAAGCTTTTATCTGAATTAAATCACGTCATGTACATAACTGTCCGGACACATGGTACTGTAGTGTAGACAATTTAGGTAATTTTGATACCCTCCTTGTTGAGCCTCAGATATAAGTGTCAATACAATCAGAAATAAACAAATTAGTTTGTTAATTAGGAGAAGAACTTAGCTGAACTTTGTCCATTTTTTTTGGTCTCTAGGTTAAAAATTAAGAATTCTGTACGGAAAAATGTTCAAAAAGTGTCCGGTTGATGGTCCCAGACCAGAACAGTAAAATTTGTATTAAAATTCAAAACTGCAGGTTAACTCAGGGTAAGGCTTTATACCAGATTGTCATTATACCAGATTGTACCCTAACCTTTGCTGGTGACCTAGACTTAAAAGCATTAAAGTTTCATGTTGATAACTTTTAAATTGTTTGAATAATGGGCAAGATTAAAAATTTTCAAACTTTTTACAGGACTGTGCATTTCGCCAACAGGAACTTGAAATTCTATCAATATTAATGAGAACATACAAAATATACCCCCTATACATATATAGATTATTTTGATCCGTTGTTTTGTTGATTTGTTCGGCGTAAATTATGTTGGGGTGGGGAAAAGGCGTTTCATTCCTTGTGTTTATTTATAGTATATAGGGGGTATATTTGGATATTATCATTGATAGTTAGCTCGACGAGCTGGCCCAAAGGGCCTGCTCGCAAAGCGAGCTTTACGGTAACGCGAGTACCTGCTAAGTGATGGTTTTGAAAACTTACGTCCGAAGTAACGAATTGGACACATCGCAACTTTTTGAATTACAAGATAACGATAAAAGCCGATGTACTCTGATTGAAAACGGAAGCGTATACTGGTGTCCTACGCACTTATAAAAGGAACCATGATAGAAAGGGGGAACTAGAAAACGGAAGCAGTGTATAAAATACCGAATGACAATTTTAAAACGGAAAATGTAAAATAAAAATAAACGATTATTTTAAACTATCATACGGTAAAAGAAAATCGAGCTCGCTTTGAGGCTTTGCCTTTTTCATATTATTGGTTATTTGATAGAATTTCAAGTTCCTGTGATTTCGCCATATGCTTGAAACCGGGTGATATAATTATTGGGCTACATTCCAGAAATTGAAAGTTTTTATGCAGTGCTGAAATTAAACTCATTACATACACTTGAAAACATAACATGAATACAAAACTATTTGTGCCTACCGTATCATTCTCTAATAAAACCATTTTTAATGCGACTGTGATGTGTAGATTCTTCCCGTACTATTTACCTTATCTCGGACAATTGAGTTGGCCGATAACTTATGAAGATATCAAACGAAAATTTTGTTCCGAATATTGTCAAATCATTTAGTGACATCAATAGCCTTAATATAAATTTTAGATAATACCCTGAGGATATGTTGCCTGATTTTTAAATTTGTCTTTTGACGTCTTATCTGTGATATGCAGGCTTCATAACCTCAGATCCCCTTTCCATTTTATTTAGTTCCGCCCATTGTTTTCTCGTTTAGGGCAAAAGCATTCTTTTACTTGGGGACCATACTGTACGCCGCTTTTTATGGAATGACACTACTGTGTCACATTGAAGGTTCCATGATAACCGCCGTATGAACATATCTGCGGGTGTTTCTAAATTCAAAATTTCACCATTTTCGTGTTAAATGTTGAATTCTGCTTAAGCCGGTGCTAGGGGGCGTGGACGGTAACTTGCACATTCCAAGACCGTCCATGAACCGGCTTAATCAAACCGAGCCTGCAGCATTTTCAATTGTGTTGTGTTCTCTATTTTAGAGGCAACTCAGAAGTATTTCCCATCAGTGCGTGGACGTCGCAGAGAATTGAAGGCACGGGTCATTGAGAAAAATAAACAAAGACCAGATCTTTTACCTGCGGACCAACTGCCGAGGTGAGCACTTGGCCCTACTAAGTAGGCAGAGGAAAGTGCCGCCTTTCCTTGATGATCTTGTTTATCATATTTTAGGTGCGTGAGGCCCTAGCAAAGAGAGTGGTGGCTTGAAAGGTACAATTAAGATACAATTTAAGAAACTTTATATTTAGTCAGTTTACAAATTACAAGAAACACAAGCTAATTAGCTATTCACCGCCAATAACAGAGACATAAAAATTATGTACTTACATATAACAAATCTGAAAAGTATGAAGAGTTAAAATCATTGAAAACTTTTCTTAAAGCTCTTTGTTGAACTTTTTCAATCTGTTCGTGTTTGTTTTAGAGCAAAGAATGCCAGACTAAGGGACGGTATATAAAATTGGACCTTCAACTTCAACGGGGTTTCTCGACAAAAGCCACGAGGTAGACATCGACGTCGCGGAAGTGAAGACTGTACATCGGTAGAGTGGCGTGTTCCGACATAAATTTTTAAAAACTATTTTACACAATTGTATCACAACTGTCCCATTGACAAACTGATGTTCCACACTACACCCTAAAAAGGTCTGGTGACCAACATGTATTTACACTTTACAAGATGTTGACCATTATGATGCTACGACTGGAACGAGCTGGATGAAAGATTTAAACGCCTCCAGGCTCTCAGTAGTAACACAAGAATCCGGTATAATATTCCAGGTATTAACAGTTCTTGGGAAAAATGAGTGTTGATAAACGTTGATTCTAGATTGGATTGGGATGAATTTCATACTGTGACTTCTTCGGGTTGAACGAACTGTGGCAATAGTGGGATGATACGATACTGGTACAGCTATTAAATAGTTAACTACTTTATACATGAGAGTCACATCTGCCCAAACTCTACGTTGTTGAAGACTGGGCCATTGTAATTTATTTATTAGTTCAGTTACACTAGAAGGATTGTGTGGGTTATACGGTCTATTCAATACCCATCTCGCTGCGTTTCTTTGTATCTGTTCTATCTGTTTAACTTGAATCTTTTGTAAAGGATTCCATATTGGGGAAGCGTATTCTAGTTTAGGTCTGACCAAACTAATGTAAGTCTTTTCTTTTACTTTGGGAGGACAGTATCTAAAGTTCCTCTTTAGAAAACCAAGTGTACTTGCTGCCTTTTTTGTGATGTTGTTGATATGGTCGTTGAATTTCAAATTATCAATGAATTCAACCCCTAAGTATGGATGTCGGTTGACTATTTCCAAGCTTTCGCCTTTCATTTTGTAGTCATATTTCTTTTTGTGTGAAGAAGATGAAAATTGCATAATGACGCAATTTTTTAACATTAAATTCCATTTGCCAAATGTCCGACCAATTTTCAAGTTTACTAAGATCTTCCTGGAGAGCTATGTTGTCACTTTGGTTACTTATTGGCCGATATAACACACAATCGTCAGCGAATAAACGTATACCTGATGTAATATTATCTGCGATGTCATTTATGTAGATTAAAAAGAGTGTTGGTCCGAGGACTGTTCCTTGCGGTACACCAGATGTTACTGAAAATAGATAAATACAGAATCCCTAAAGAAAGCCCAACACGACAAAATTGAAAATGTTGTAGGCTCGATTTGATTGAGCCTGTTCATGGACGGTACTGGAAAGTGCAAGTTACCGTCCACGCCCCCTAGCACCGGCTTAAGCAGAATTCAACATTTAAACATGAACTAGTAAAATTTTGAATTTAGAAACATCCGCAGATGTGTTCATACGGCGGTTATCATGGAACCTTCAATGTGACACTTCCGTGCCATTCCATGAAAAGCGGCGTATGGTTCCCAAGTAATAAAAAGCGTGTGCCCTAAACGAGAAAACAATGGGCGGAACTAAATAAAATGGAATTTTGAAAGGGGATCAGAGGTTATGAAGCCTGCGTATCACAGATAAGACGTCAAAAGACAAATTTAAAAAGCAGGCAACATATCCTAAGGGTGATTCAACATTATTCAAGTAGGAATATTGGAACCACCCAACTAGAAAATACCGAAAAGTTGAAACTAAAAATACCACAAGCACAACAATAATGTCGTGCTGAACGATCTTCAAGGATCGAAAATATAACATCATTGATTAAATGTACGGGGAGACTTTTTACAGCCGCCACACGGCACAAATAACACGGATGTGATCATAAAATAGATAAATACAGAATCCCTAAAGAAAGCCCAACACGACAAAATTGAAAATGTTGCAGGCTCGGTTTGATTGAGCCTGTTCATGGACGGTACTGGAAAGTGCAAGTTACCGTGCACGCCCCCTAGCACCGGCTTAAGCAGAATTCAACATTTAAACATGAACTAGTAAAATTTTGAATTTAGAAACATCCGCAGATGTGTTCATACGGCGGTTATCATGGAACCTTCAATGTGACACTTCCGTGCCATTCCATGAAAAGCGGCGTATGGTTCCCAAGTAATAAAAAGCGTGTGCCCTAAACGAGAAAACAATGGGCGGAACTAAATAAAATGGAATTTTGAAAGGGGATCAGAGGTTATGAAGCCTGCGTATCACAGATAAGACGTCAAAAGACAAATTTAAAAAGCAGGCAACATATCCTAAGGGTGATTCAACATTATTCAAGTAGGAATATTGGAACCACCCAACTAGAAAATACCGAAAAGTTGAAACTAAAAATACCACAAGCACAACAATAATGTCGTGCTGAACGATCTTCAAGGATCGAAAATATAACATCATTGATTAAATGTACGGGGAGACTTTTTACAGCCGCCACACGGCACAAATAACACGGATGTGATCATAAAATAGATAAATACAGAATCCCTAAAGAAAGCCCAACACGACAAAATTGAAAATGTTGCAGGCTCGGTTTGATTGAGCCTGTTCATGGACGGTACTGGAAAGTGCAAGTTACCGTCCACGCCCCCTGAGGCTATATCAGATGATGCGTTGTCCACTACTACTTGTTGTGTTCTATTAGATAAAAAGGAATCAATCCAACGCCTAGTATTACCGGAAATACCATAATACTCTAGTTTGTGTGATAAACGTCTGTGAGAAACTTTATCAATAATCACCTAACAAATGATTTATAAATATGAAGTAAACATTCTGAATTTAAAAAAAATTCTAACTCATAATTATAATTCTAAGTATTAAAAGCATATTTTACTGTTTTGCCGCTCTTTTACATATTCTGGTGACCTTTTTATTAAAGTTAAATAAAAAGTGTATGTCTACTTCAAGCAGTTTTACACAATCTTCACAATTTGTTTTTACGTTATCAATTTGAAATTGTTTTAAGTGTTCGATCATTTGCAGTTTTGCCAACAACTAAGGCTATGGCCATGGCCCTTAGTTTTATTTTTTAAATTTTGCCCCTCCCTTCCCCGAATCTCGAGTCCCCTTCCCCTGTGCCCTTTTCTTTTGTGGACCCTTAAACAATCAATTAATTGTTTTCTTTAATTTCCTTGTCGGTTACTATTATTTCCTTTTAAGAATCATTTAAGTGATTATCCTATCCGTACTCTACCTTGTGTCCTTTTGGGGTCCCCCCCTTGGGCTCCTTGCAGTTTGTTCTTGTTGCTGGATCGTGTGGGGGTTGCGTTAATTGAACGCTGTCTTTCCTTGTTGATCTTGTTTATCATATTTTGAAACATGTAAGGGTTAGCTTGCATTGTAATTATATTGAACCAGATAATAAGTATTTTGCTTTCATTTTAAGGTATTTTTCAATAAATCTTAGTTTGAGTTGGATAAGGCTAGAGGTTGGACATATCTATAAAGTAAAAAATATCAATAATAGACCCTAGGTTTTGTCGTTCTATAGATGTCAAATTTTGGCCTGTTATCCGAAAGAAAGTAAAAAAATAACAAAAGTTTAAAAACCTAATCCTCGAGCCATTTTGGCGCAGCATTGCCTTATCTTTTTTAATGTGAGTCACACTGCTCTATGCGCTTATCATTGAAAAACATGTATAGAAGCTGGGACATGTAAAATAAAAATGAATGAATAATTAATTATTTAATGTTTTTATGCTCTAAAATTTGATATGTAACCAAAAGATTATATTCCATGTCTTTTGTTTCTCATTTCTTTGCCTTTTGTTGCAAATATAAAGCTAGGGAAAATTTCCTTTCAAATTTACGAACAATAAATAAGAAATTAAGTTATAATAAAATAAATAGAGGAATTGACATTATCAAATCTACTTGTTACTTAACTTAAAGATCCTGTAACACAATTTTTTTATGGTTTTATATCAAAAATATGATGCCTAACCCTAACCCTATTAAGATTTATCAATTTTGTAAGTTCCAAAAAAACAAAAATAAAGATCAACAAAAAAAGCTTTATTTATAATGATATTACTGAATGTATCATTTCGTGTAAATAAAGGGAGGTAATAAAAATTATTTTCTATAAAGTCTAAGTCAA